TTCCTCTGAAAAAGGATTCTTCTTTATCAACGGCAGCCTTATGCTCCCCCATCCGACCTCCCAAAAGCACACCCACACACACAGTACACATGTACGCACATTTTCATGAAGGAAAATGTTATTTTGCACAACCACGATTCTTGCTTTTTCATTAATTCTTCAACTATACAATTAATATCTAATTAAATTGGTTTCCATACGTAACGAAAAAGTATTTTTGATTTTCCATCTATCTCATGAAATCTTACCATTGTTATTACTCCTTATTCCATGTACTTTATACACTTTGATTTATATGATTAAAAGATTTTCAAGTATAACATTGATTAATAATAAAAAAGAAACTTATAACTTTCTTTTTCAAAATAAATGTAACACAACCTGTTCTAAACAAAACAAAACAAAAAAGAATTCGATGAATAATTTGAAATGTTGAACTTTCAGCCAACATTGAAAAAAATAGCACAATTATTTATCTTGCACGCGACAATAGTACAGACCAAATGAAGAAAATACATACATGTGTAGTCAAGATCCATGTTTGTTTCTTTTGATTCTTTGATGTGAATAACAAAACCCATAAACATATTGAAAGCCCTTGATTTTCATCAATACTATATGCCAATAAACGATTTTTTGCTGAATTTTTATGGCTTTTTTTTAATATATATGAAGATAAAAGAGTATATATCAATTATATATTATAATAATCCAACGGAAGGTTGGTCTCATAAATTTAAGTAATGATTTTATGTTTTGGTTTACAAACTATAATCTTTTTAGGCATAATAACTAACTAAACTCACTTAATATCTACAACATAGACTTGCTAATCTGAATGAAGTTTGTGCAAAAACGATGTGACCGATATGGTTGTAAGAATTTAAATATATTATTGATAACTTTATTACTTTGGTGTAGTAGGAGTTGGGGTTTGAACCATAACTTTATTACTTTCCATTAGAAACCAAAATATTTAAAAAAGATGGTGGAACAGATATGGAATGCTTAATACGATAAAAACAAAATGTTTTTTTTTAGAACTGAGAATAAAAACAATATGTGGTGTCTTCATTTTGAACAACACCTACCCTGCAACGAACCAAATAAAGGACAAATACTACTCTGATTTTATTTGCAAAATATGTTAGGGGTTGTCTCGTGAACACAATACAATTGAAAAATATGTTTTGAACAAACTTTAATGATTCAAATTGCATATAAGATTACAAAAGTGCCTCTAATGTTGAAATGTTCATTAAGGACGAAATTTTTTTGTTTCCTCTTATTTCAAATGCTCCATCCGCTTCGAGATGATCCATGTTGTCTCTAATCGGATTCAACCGAACACCGGTTTTAAATCATCATTTTCACCTAGAAAAATAACCGATTCATCATGAATAAAAACATTTAGAGAAAGTATCGAGCCTAAACCGTTCATTCATTAATATATACTTTTTTTTTTTACTAAAATCAAAGCTATCTAAAGAATAGCCAGTGACGCCTTGATTTTTTTGTAGTAGTGAAAAAAATTTATATACAAGCTTAAGTGCACTAAAAAGAATTGCTACCCATTACAAAAGTTTATGTTTTTTTTTTGAACGGCAAACTAACTACTCCAAAATAAACATTTATGTCTCCACCAAGATTTGAACTCCTAACCTCTCATATGAGATGATCACTCTAAACCGTTAGGCCATTGGCCCTTTGGTTCATGGTGTATTTATTTATAATGGAAAATCTCATCATCATATTTTTCTTGATGTGAAACTCTTTCCTACCAACAAATATGTTATATTTAATATCTTCTGTTATTTATAGTTTCTATCTCTTTTTTCTTACATTTTTTGATAAACACTATAAAATAAGTCATAATATTTTTCTATAAAAACTCTAAATAAATTTGAAAAATTAGGTGGGTCTTGGGACCCACTTTCCCTATACATGGATCCGGATATATATATATATATATTGAATAGGGAATATACATTACAGTCACACTTAAGATTATGTATTAAACATCAAAAATATATCGTCTTAATATAGTAAAAATATCTGGTTTAGTTCTCACTTGGTAATATACTGTCCACGATAATATTTCTTTCCTCTATTATCGTTTTACAATCTATGTTTTATACTAATCAAAAAGGTTTTATAACAAATGATAGATAAAATGATTGTTTTTGTTGTAAACTATTTAAATCTACTAATCAAAAAGGTTTTATAACAAACTAGGTTTAAACTCGTGGAAACCACGATTGATAATTTTAAATAAAATCATAATCTTGATTGTCTAATAAAATAAGATATCATTAGTTTAGAAAAAATCATGAATAATGATAATGCATTTTTTTATTAATCTTGTCATTTGTAAGTATTTTATAAGTATGTTAGTCTACATATTCGATAAAAGGCACGAGTTTATATAATATAACATACATTTGAGTATAGCGAAAAAAAACACAAAAAAAAAAAAAAAAAAAAAATGGAAATGAAATTGATATAAAACAAACAAAACATTTCGGTAATGTAATTAACATAAATAAAAAAATATAATGAATTATTATAAATAAATTAATTAATGTGATGGAGGAAGTGTGATTTACTAAAAGTAAATAAATGATGCTACAAAAAGTTGCTTTATAAATTTCCAAAAACTTCCTTATAAACAACATTGGAGTTTTTATTTGTGATTTTATCATCCTTATCTAAAATTAAAAATTTTAATCTCTCTCTGCTTTGAACTCTAGATAAGACAACATACACTTCGCCATGTAAAAAAACGGAATCTTTGAGAAACAAACCAACTTTGGATAACGACTGTCATTGACTCTTATTAAGAGTCATTGCAAAACATACGACCAATGGAAACTGGCTTCTTTGGAATTTGAAGGGATTTTTTTTCTGATGGACTTAAAGACATTCTTGGAATAAAAGTCGGGTTTCCAATATTAGTTTCAGATATGATACATGTCTCAATAACACGTTTTCCTAATGATATCACCTGCAATCTTGTGTCATTATATAAAACGTTTTTCTGATCAATATTTCTCAGTATCATAACTAAAACATCAATTTTTAAAACTAACTAATGATTTGATAGACCCGATACTTTCAGACCATTCAAAACATCAGGTGAGTATAAATTTGAATCAAACTGATCATTGACAAATTCAAATTCGTATATACTATCTGAACTTTAATATTCAACCTTATCTCCTAGAAACTTCGATAGCAAACGATCATTTATTTCCTGAACAATTTCATTCTTTAGAGCAAGTACTGTAAAAATTCATATCTTTAGTAACCGAACCTTCATATGTGCATCATCGTCAATTTGATCAATGTCTTCGAGGTACAATTTCTTACCTATGGACATTTGTTGTAAACAATTGAAAGGAGATTCAAAGTTAAGAAAGCAATAATGTAAACCGGTATAAAATTAAATTAGCATTTAATAGCATTGTACTATTGTAATAACAAAAAAGTACATTGACATATTTGGAGGTTTCATTAAATATGTTGATTTTGATTTATATTGTAGTTTCTATGTTTTCCTGTTAGACTGAAAACAGAACAAAAAAAGTTAATAACAGATTGTAATAACAGAAAAGTACATTGTCATATTTGGCAATCAAATATTCATTATATAGGTATTTCTGAAACTTAAATGGTAATTGTGAGCACTATAATTTCATGAAAACTAAAAGGTTGAAACCTAACTCTAGGAATATGTGAAATTCTTCTATATCTTGATTTTTACCAATAAATTTACAAAAAAACAGATTTTAATGAAGCTCAAATAAATATTAATGATTTTCAGAAAAACATAGAAAACTATCCTAAATTTCAAAGACACGGCTTAATAAATAATAAAGGGAATTAACTGATTCGTTTAAAGTTAATTTACAATGAACTTACGAAAAAAACTTAAAAGTATAATCCTGAGTTAGAAAGAAAAATAAATCGCTAAAATAAAAAATAAAAAAAGCTGATGAAAATAAAATTTACAGCAAAAAAAAAAAAAAACGATACCAGTAGCCATAAAGAAATACCAATATACTTTTAGTTTGTTGTTTTTTGATGCTATAATTATACGAACTTGCTATTTCACAGTAAAAAAACAATAACAAGTAAAAAAGAACAAAAACCGATGAAAATACAACTTACAATAAAAAAACAATAACATGTAGAAAAATAGGGAAATAACAGATGAAACTTGGTTCCTATTCCTCAAATTTATATATCACAGTGAAAAACAATAACAGGTAAACAAAGCAACAAATGTGATGAAAGTTGGTATAAACCACAAAGAAAGAGAGAATGGATATACGTAACTAACTTGATTTTTTTCTAGCTTTGTTCTTGTTTCCTTGGCTGTAGGAATTGTGAAACAACAGAGAAAAAGAATGTGTATTCTGTGCGTATATATTAAAGCTATACCAAGATTTTGAAATATCGATATTATTGTGTTGTTGATTTTATGGGATTTAGTAGGTTATAAATCAATTTAAATTTATAGATAGGATTTGCATTGAATAAGAGATTGCAGAAAATCATGAACAAATAAGTTTATTGGACAAAATTAATTGAGTCTCAATTTTTTTTCAGATCACATTCCTGATTTCACTACAATATGAGTTGAAATGACCAATAAGGGCAATTTTGGAATTTCACATAGACATTTAAGCAGGAAAAAAAGTTTGGGTTTGTACTCTTTTATTAGGATAGGAGATGTTGAATGGTTTGACTATCTATATAGAAAAATATATTAGATAAGGTTGACCTTGACATTATTATAATTATTTTGGATCTAAAAAAGCTAGTAGAAATATTTCTTTAAATTAGTCGATTTTTTTTAAATGTTTTTTTTTTTTTTGGTCTTAGACAGACCCCTTTTTTCTTTCGCCACGTGCCAGAAATATATTTGAACCTGCCAAAATATATTTGCAAAAGAAATGCTCATATATATTCTTTACAAAAGATTTTTTTTGAAATATGCAAGTTCTTAGTTAAACTATAAAGTACATGCAATCACACATTTATTTTTCCTTATGTATCACTTAAATTACACCTCTAGAATGAAAAATACTAAACAACAACATACAAATCAAGTTTTTCATCTTCTCCAACACGATTACACCCTCGTAACCGGTGAAAAAAACTGAAAATTTAAATTAAAAAAACAAGCTACATTCAACAATATATTCCATAATCTTCTAATTCAATGGCGCCTTTCCACATCTTAATGCATTCAACGGGATTTCATATTCAGTGCGAGAACTCTTTTCATCGTTCCAAACTTTCGTATACAACTCCTGTCCCAAATATCTCCTTGGCCAAATTGCAGACCTCAAATTCCACATCCCCTTGTTATCCATAGAAACCAATATCGCACTCCATGAATTCGGATACACCTAACACCATATCACAAAATAATCACCAACCAAATCCACTTTCATACCCCAAAAATAAATAAATAAAACTTTAATTAATATTTAATACCTGAACAGTGTGTCGTGTGGTAGCATCATTCAGATTATAAAATCTTTTCCTAAGTGTAGCATTCCACTGCCCAGATCCAAACCTATACAAATTATAACAAATCAATATTCAAGATATGTGATTTCGATTCTTTTTAAAAGAAAATATAAAAGTGACTTAACATTTTTACCACTTACCCAACAGCCCAAAAGTCCGACCCATCAAGATGCCATGATTGAATACTTCCCTCGTTGTTTTGGAAGACAATTTCAACAAAGTCATGAAGAGTGAATCCCATAACAGATGCGCCAATAACAGGAGGGGTTGAAGGAGGTGAATCTTTGATTGAGCTTAAGTGGAAGACTCCAGGAATGTTATAAAAGTCAGCGATCTTCAATGGAGTTTCTGGGTTAGCATACGACACCTGATTCACAGCATACCTAAGTTTTCCATTAATGTTTACAGCTGAATTTGCAAGCACAACTGTTCGTGTTACTGGAATTGTTCCATAGTGGTATGAGCCTTGAGGGTTAGGTCTAGCTGCATTTGCTGTTAAATTCCATCTGATTGTTCTTGCTTGTTTCATTGACCAGTGAATCTCATAGGTGGGACCCCATGGTAGTGGCAAAGAAGCTTTGGTGGTGGAGCCATCGTAGTGGAGGGTTGCTGTAGCTGTAAGAACTGGTTTCGTGAAACGTGTTGAAGCAACGATGAAGTAGTCTTTTAGAGGAGCATTAAGGTTGACCAAGAAAGAAGCGGATTGACCAACATGAATGTCTAGTGATTCGTATGATTCTTGTAAAGTGTGTGATCCTTCAGTTTCGACTAGTGTTAGTGTATGGTTTTGGATTCTGAAGTTAATTGAAGTGGTTAAGGCCACATTTGATACTCTAAACATGTACCTTTGACCTGAAAGATTATCATATATTATAATTTAGAAACAAGTCAAGAAGACAAGAACCCATGTCATGTTGAGTTTATAACCTTTTTGGGTAGTGAAAGAGGTTGATTGAACATGGCCATTGATTAGTAGAGCATCAGCCATGGGAAGAGTGTTCCCAGAGTCGAGTGTTTGTTGTAGTGTCTGAAAAAGAAGCTTATTAATTTAACTGTTTGTCTACAATGTAACTGAGAAGGATGAAATGGGAAAGAAAAAAGGAAATAAATAAATAAATAACCTTGTGATCAGATTTCCACCAGTCACTGATGAGTAAAGTGAATTCCTCAACTGGTTTGAGATATGGGACAAAAATCACAGCTCTTGCTCGGACATTAATTGCCCCAAAACCACCAACAGCTCTATGCATTTTGATTGAAGGGAAGTAGGAATAGGTTCCAATTTGATCTTTCATTTGCATTTGGTATGTCCAGTTTGAGTTTGGTGGGATTGGGCAGTTTGTCCCCAAAACTCCATCTTGCCATGAGCTCTTTCTTTGTTTGATACCATTCCTAAAGTAGAGTTAATATGAGCCATGATCACAGAAAGCAAAAAAGAACACAAGATCAAATCACAGGAAAGTACTTACCAGGTGAGAAGAAAGGGTTCATCCAGCTTGTTAATGACATTGACAATTACATTGTCGTTGGTGATACAGTCAATGGTTGGGCCTGGGAACTTCCCATTGATAAGTATGCCCTAAAGTAATGGTAGACAAGAAGAGATTGTAAGTTAAGACATCATCATCATCATCTTAGTGTGCAATAAGTACAAGTGTGTTGATTATTACCCTTTGTGAAACACCAAGAGGAGAAATTTGTCCGTATGTAACTTCAAATGTAAAAAATTTGTATGGGTCTTCAGCCTTAACAAAGAAGACACATAACCAAGCCAAAAGTCCAAGATAAAATGGTCGGATGATGGCCTGATTCATGTTGTCTGAGTAAGTCCTTCCAATAATCTAATACCTGTAACATTAAAGGATGGATTCAAACAAAACGATCATGAGAAACCAATAGGTAACTGTATAGCTAGTCTTAAAAGAAGTAGATAAGACACCCATAATAGTTCCATGCAAGCTAATTAACACATACTGTATCAAGTGTGCATGAGTCATGACTGTTATCGACTGCACATACAAAACTTGGCATTGAACCAAATATGTAAAGCAGTGCAATATGCAGCAAATAACTCATGTTCACAGTGTGACACGATGGCAATTAAATAACTCATTCAGGTTAGCAAGAGAAATCGAATACTTACAGTATTGGAAGAAGCAGAGGGTGAACCTCCCGGGTATGAATTGAAAGGGGATGAACAAAAGCGAGGAGATGAGAGTTTGATGATCAGAGACAAGTCCATTGGACAATTTATATACGAAGACAACGCCGAGAACATTTCATCGATTAAGAGAGTAACATGGAATCGATTTCGGAAATAGAAGCGAGATCTATTACGCCGTACTTCAAGGTGATCATTAATTAGCAGTGAAGAGTAATAACAGCTCATGATTTTCAAAATGGGAAACTAGTATTGAGATCTATTTGACCCAAGATAATTAATTATCCCACTTCGTCAACAAGTTTATGCAATTTGAGACTCGACGATGAAACCCTAGAATGTCGCAGTGGAGAACGGATCAATCATAAATACGTTCAAAAAATTTCATTATACTAATGATCTAAAGCTGAAGACTTTATGAAGAGAGAAGTGAAGGGTTAGGGTTTTTGCTAATCGCACATGGAAACAAGGCGCGATCCCGACCGGAAGCTTCTGTCAATCGTGCAGAAACCCTTCTTTCTTTACGCGCCAAAACACTATGTTTTATTTTATTTTTAAATAAGATAAAAAATAATAATATTATTTTAAAAATTTTAAAAATGCAACATGTTAAAAGCTAAAAATGAAAAGAACTATTCAAAATATATTTTAATTGTATACATTGCCTAAAATTTATTCATTCAAATAATTTGTTTGCCATGGAAGTATGGAACTAATATATATGTTTACCAAATTAAATATTTTATTCTTTAAAGTATTTCTAACATGTTAATTTGTTTAGCAATTAAGAAATTTGCTTTTTATTCAATCCATAAGACGAACTAAATTACAAACTCTAATATGAACCAACAATAAGATGATTGATAGCATATGTCCATATTGATAGCATGTATGATTCATTTAGGTTTTTGGTGGTTATATTTTTGTATCATCCATGTTTAGTATGAGCTGTATTCTATATGTTTGAATGACAATTTTTTAGTCTTAAGATAATAAACCACAGTGGTTAATAAAATATAAATTATAGTTATAATAGTAGGCGAAAGTCAAAGTATTACCAAATGGAAAGTGCATTCCGAGGTGTGATCAAAAGTCAGAGTGTTCATATCTAATGACCTTTAATTAAAGGGTTAATGACTTGAAAGGGTAACGTACTTTCGATTTTTGTCACATTTAGTCACTAAACTTTTTTTCGTTATCTATTTGCCATTGAACTATTGAAACTGTTCACATTTTACCCTTATGACCGGCTGTTGCCGGTCATAAGGGTAAAATGTGAACAGTTTCAATAGTTCAATGGCAAATAGATAACGAAAAAAAGTTTAGTGACTAAATATGAACAAAATCGAAAGTTCGTTTCCCTCTAAAAAGTTCAATGACTAAATGTGAACAAACCTCCTCTTGTATTATGTTTTAGCAAATTATTTATTTTTGTTAAATTGTAGCAACATTTGTTGATGAAGAAATCTATGAAATAAAAAAAAAAAAAAAAAAAAACAGAACCCTTAAAATATATTTAAAAAAAAAACAAAAAACCAAAACCGAAATAAAAAACCAATGGTTTGACATTTTCCAAAATAAAAAATCAAAATTTCCAATTTGATTCTGGTTTTACAAAAAAATGAATCATTCTCACTGATGTGAATTATGACCATTGGTTTGGCATGCGAAATTTGTGACATCCCATGAATATGTAGTTACAACATCGTCTGAACTCGTAATTCATAGTAAGGGGTTAGAGTATCATCACATGAATACGTAGTTACAACATCGCCTGAACTCGTAATTCATCACCTACAGGTTATGGGCCTGCTGGTGTTTCCACTGGGTTGTCTAGAATAGTCCATGGTCGCCATCTATACTCTGGTAGATGACTACATCGCCACATTGCTGGTTAAGGTTATGGTATCTCCTTTCATCCTACATCACATATTCATCATCATCTATTTACATAATTATCACCACCTTTCTATCATCACATATCTCTCATCATTTTATTTAATCACACACCAACTATTTCATCTACCCATGTTTCATCCGCAACATATTTGTAGATATAAAATAAATATACCGTTTAAATCTTTTAAAACATGTATAAAATCGTTCATCCAGAATAGACAGCAAGTATTCAAATAATATGCACACATAGCACGTAATTTATATAAAATACTTCATATCTATGTGTAAGATGAAAGTAACTATATATACCATAAATGCTTCCTAACTTTGAACCCCAAGGTTTACTCTACTAAAGCTTCATATTCTCGGCTCTCTGAACCTATAAGGGTCCAAATCTATCACACCAAAAAGCTCAAGATAGCTCTTCCTCGCACTCTACACACTCAAGCTCGCTAGGGTTCTCACTTATAGGAAAGGTAGTCGCAATTGAAGGCCATAAGTGCCTATAAATATGGCTCGAGCCCAAAGATTTAGGGTTTCTGCCAACAGCGCGGACTCGTCGAGTCGCCTCACCGATTCGTGAGTCCATTCATTAATCCGAGTAATCAGTCGCGACCTTACTCGACGAGTTGAGGCGTCAACTCGTCGAGTCTCTCTTCTTAACTCAAAAGAAAAATACTTAAATGATGATACCTGGAAATCCGGATGTTACATTTTGTTTGTTTATTTCATAGATTTCTTCATCAACAAATGTTGCTATAATTAAACAAAAATAAATAATTTTGCTAAAACATAATACAATAAGAAGTTTGTTCACATTTAGTCATTAAACTTTTTAGAGGGAAACGAACTTTCGATTTTGTTCACATTTAGTCACTAAACTTTTTTTCATTATCTATTTGTCACTAAACTATTGAAACTATTCACATTTTACCCTTATGACCGGTAACAGCCGGTCATAAGAGTAAAATGTGAACAGTTTCAATAGTTCAATGGCAAATAGATAACGAAAAAAAGTTTAGTGACCAAATGTGACAAAAATCAAAAGTTCGTTACTCTTTCAAGTCATTATCCCTTAATTAAAAAATGGTTTCCAAGTTTATTACTAAGAGTTTAAAGGTCATTGGATTTTTATATAAGTTTTTTGTACGATGCATTTTAAATAAGGAAATTGAGTAATCTAACTATTGTTTTGGATTTTATTTAAAAATATAAACAATTTAAAAAAAAAAAAAAAAAAAAAAAAAAAAAAAAAAAACACTAATTTCCGGATCCGAAAACCGGCTCAAGCCCAATACTGTAGTTCAGTGGTATATATATATATGAGTTTCACACACACAAAAAATCCAGAATACGCGTTTTGAAATTTGCAGATCTGAAGCATGATCTACCCGCATTTCGAACCAAAATTTCAGCATAGATTCCTCAAACCAAGTAATTTCTACACTTTAATTTACTTTGTATAACGATTTACGTATTCTGGAATTGCCCGAAATGATCCGGAATACGAGGAACAACTCCGAAATATTATGATTGAATCTGTATTACCCTTTTTGTTATCTTTTTCTCGTTGTACTTATATGAATCTCATGTAAGTACTTTGTAATGTGTTCGGATCACTTGTTTTGGTCTAGAATTATGTATTGTAGAGTTTCCAGAAAGGTAATGTAGGTCCAGAACATGATGAACGTGGTCCAGAACCCGATGATTTATTCCGGAATGATGTTACGAAATATTAATTCAGAATAACCATACTTATAATTTTTTTTAAGTATTGTTTAATAATCCATGTTAGTCCAAAGACGAGTTTGTGTGGATGTTGTTAAAATAAGTGGGTTTTACGGACGGTGAAGTTGTATTTCATTTACAAGAGATTTTAGAATTACACTTGATAGAGGTAAAATCAAAAAACAATAATTTTATTATTTTAATTTATTTTTACGGTAATGTATTAAAATGTTCTCAAAATTTTGTTTTTGCAAATAAAGAACGAAGATGTTGAGTTTCAAAATAAGATAAAAAAATAAATCAACAAAGACACCTATAAAATTAAGAAGAAATCAAAAATGGTGTTAAAACTTAAATTGAAAGTAGATAGAACTCCGAAAGATGACAGCGAAGCAAGTGCAGAAAAACTTGTTATGATAGACTAGTCGCAATTATGTTTTCTTTTTCTTATGGATATATTTCACCAAGTGTTTTTTTATTATTATCAAATATTTTTATGCACATTGGTTTTTAAATAGTATATTAATATAATTTGTGTATATTCTATTTGCAGTCTCCAACATTCAGTGACTCGAACGATGATGACGAGTTGCCTATAGAGTATGTTATACCATGTATTGAAACGAGAAATGACGTCTTGTTGATACGACTGCATTAGAAATGATTCGTGATTATCAACGTGTTAAACAACGAATGGTAATACTTGAAATCTCACTACCTCCTTTACCGGTTGAGGACCGGAGAAAAGTAGCATTATATAACATGTTAATGCTCCTCATTACCATGTTTGAAGATATACGACAATTTTGTGAACATAATGGACATCATCAAAGAAACACGTAGGACAACTCCAACAATAGAAGATCGAGTCGAATTGACTGATAATGGTTTCAAATTAATTGAGAGCTACATTGAATTGTTTGAAAATCATGTAGACATGGCTAGTTTGCATCGGATGAAAGTTTTCATTTATCAGCCAGAAATATAATCTAATTTAAATATAGATACTGTAATATCTTTTGAAACTGAATTTTGTAAAAGGAACGATATAAATCCTAATAAATACTTAGATTGGTTTCCACCAATTAGGAACTTGTAAGGGATACGTATTTTGGTCTCAGTCAATAAAATCTTATGTAATTCTAACAATATATGTTAGACGGTGTCGTTATGCACGAAGCTTATTGATCTCCGCAATTGCATTTTCAATCCACTTCTTAGCATGTTTCACTTCTTTCATAGCTTCAGCAACCCATTTTTCTTTTTCATTTACTTGTTCCACTAGATCGTCTGCATGTTGATTTAGTGTGCGACTTCTTTCAAAGTCCATTTCGTTTGCTTCTTCAGCAGCCTTCATATCTTGGAAAACGTCATCAAGCATTTTATCTAGGAGTGGTAAATTTAGGCCTTCCAGAAAGGGGTTATTATTTGAACAAACACAACAATCTTCTTCTTCAAAATTCCAAACATCATCGTGAGATAAACTCATTTCAAAATTTTTGCTATGTTAAGGATGCATGCTAGGTGCATTTTAAGGTCCAAAAGCAATGTCCAGAACAAGTGTCTGAAATATGTAATTCTAGAATGGGATTCTGGAATAA